GATCAAGCGCAAGTTCCCACAGAACGTGTCTGATGTTTACCCAGCCAGCTGAGCTGGACTGCGTGCTCCCCCAGCTCTTTCCCTAAAAGGACACTGACAGGCAAACCACTGCCCTCTCTCACAGCCAGGAAGGAGTGACTTCGAAGGGAAATAAGGGCTTTGTATCTTAGCTGAAAATCAGTAATGATAAAATGCAAGAGGCAGAGGGTAAGTCCGAGTAAATGCATCATTAGATGGGCCCTGTTTCCCAAGGAGTCACGCACTGACCCCTTGCTCTGCTCGCTGATCCACTGGGAGTGCTTTGGAAGCAGTCACACCATGTGAAGTAAGCTGAAGACATCCCAGTGCCTTACACTCAGAAGCTGCAAGCCTCCGGCCAGAATGGGCTCTTTTAGCCTGTAAACATCCACAGGGCAGAGCCTATATTTAACTTATGACACATCTTAAATTGAGGAAAGGATGGGGAACTGTGTCCTTATTTCCTCCCACCAACACTACCCCGTTCATGTAGAATCCCTAAGGTTTCTACATGGAATGGGAAGATGGTGTTTTCCCTCTCTTACAGGACTTATTGGCAGCACATCCTTCAAAGTTATCCAATAAGCCCACTTGAGGGCCCTTCTAGGCTCGTGGAAAGAGAAAAGTTGTCTCTACATGGAAAAGAGAGTGAAGAATATGTGAAGAAGGCCAGCAAAGAGGTCTTAGACACTCACTCCTCAGCACCATGGAGCCAGAGACTCTTGGGAGACCCTGATCCTGGAGATACTCCCACGAGACCTTTCCAGTGTGGAGCTCATGACATGGGACCATGAATGTACTCCGGGTGAGGGCTGGGTGTGGTATGTGGCCTCCAGCCACCCTCAGGACAAGCAGGCAGGCTGTGACCCAGGGACCTGCCTGCTGATATTTCTCCACTTTGATGCTGAATCAGAGCACAATTAGTGGTTCTTTCCTGGACCTGCACCAGTATTCTTTATATAAAAAAAAAAGTCCTTGGAAATTTTATTTTAATTCATCACCACTTAGAGATAGCTTTCTATCCTACACTCCTTCCCCACATGAGGGCAAGGCCGATATAGCATCGAACAAATTGGACAGACTCAGCTCCTAGCTCTGCTGTGCTGAATCCTCAATTTCCGCATCTGTGAAATAGGTAGAGTAGCACTTAATCCAATAGTCTATTTAAGATTTAAAGGAGATGTCATGTACAGAATGCTTGGCACAGTGACTGACAGAAAGCAAATGGCATTTGTTGCTTATGAGTGGTAGTTACTGTTATAATGTTGCTGATGGTGCCAATCGAGAACCAAGAGCAGAAAAGGAAGTCCAAGTCCAACTTTGACCAGTTGTCAGGTTTGCTTGAGGGCAAACCAGCTTTCTATCCTGCTACCTAAATCCCCCTTTCCCCTTTCAGGGCCCTGCCCCCACACCCCACCTCAGATTATATGCCCTGTGTCCCCACACCACATCATTCCTTGGTGACAACCCACACTTTTGACCTACCTCCACTCACAACCATCTTATCCATGCAGGCTCTCATTCTTTCATTACACAGCTCTCTGCTTGGAATCAGGTAACTAATATAAAGATTAGGTATTAATGATTAACGGAGGCTTCATGGTTGTCTCCCAGGTATATCACATTCATGGTTAATTTCCCAAAGGCTCCTGATAGAGATTTCTCAATCTACTATGAGTTTGAAAGGTAGATGGTTTTTTTTTTTTTTTAAGATTTTATTTATTTATTTGACAGACAGAGACACAGCGAGAGAGGGAACACAAGCAGGGGGAGTGGGAGAGGGAGAAGCAGGCCCCCCACCAAGCAGGGAGCCCGATACGGGGCTCGATCCCAGGACCCTGGGATCATGACCTGAGCCGAAGGCAGACGCTTAATGACTGAGCCACCCAGGCGCCCCAGGAAGATGGTTTTAATCAGAGCTGTTCTTGAGACTCTTTAAATCAAGCCCTCAAGTCCTGACCTTCTTAAAGCAAGTTGAGAGCATTCCCATATATAAAAGAAATCTCAGACTCCTTGAATTTGTTCATGTCTAAACTACTGTTATATTGAGTTTTTTTGGTAACATCTTTGGGCTCAGTTTTCCTCATCTGAAAAATGGGTATATAACAAAGATCCATTTTCTATCTCTTAAGCATCTCTTTCCTAAATGAGTGAACACAAGATAAATCAGCAAGTAGGGAGAACACAGAATGTGTAGTTGTGTTGACTGGGGATAGAAAAAAGGAGTAGGTAAAAAAAATCTTTAAAAAGGGGGGCGGCGCGCTCAGTCTGTTAAGCGACTGCCTTCAGCACAGGTCATGATCTCAGGGTCCTAGGGTCCACCCCCAAGTTGGCTCCCTGCTCAGCGGGGAGTCTGCTTCTCCTTCTCCCTCTGCCCCTTCCTCCGCCCCCAACCCCCTGCTCCTGCATGCTCTCTCTCTCTCTCTAATAAATAAAAACCTTAAAAAAAGAAAAGAAAAAAGGAGTAGGTAGATTTAATATTACCATTAGTCATGACTTGAGCCAAACTCAGCAGTTTTAGAACCATGTTTAACACTTCTGTCTGCATATTAGAATTAACTGGAAGTTTTTTTAAGGAAAAAAGTTCTTAGACTCCACCCCCCAAAATTCTGATTCAGTTGACATGGGGTGGGGTTTGAGCATCAGAATTTTTAAAATATCTCCTTAAGGTAATTCTATAGTGCAGCCAAGACTGAGAACCACTGTCTTAAAACAGCATCAGTAATATAAAGTAGGTGGAAAATGGCATCATATTAGCCAAGCCTTAGTTGTGACCAAGAGGTGAGCCTGGCTTTCTATTCTGGACATACTCAGCAAGTGACGCTCAACGGGTTTCACCTCGTGGTCATGGCCCGGGGGAAAGAACTCACGGACAGATGTCAAGAATCACTAGATAGTGGGCTAGAGGAGCCGCAAAAATCCCCTAACTTTAATCCTCTTCCGCATTGATATGTGAGCACTGGCAATTCAGCTTGTCTCCAAGCCTCAGTTTCCCTATCCATTAAATGAACAGCTTAGATTAGATAAGCTCATGGGTGTTTTCCAGTGCTGTTATTCTATGATTCTAAGATAGTTTTCGAGCATCAGAGGAAAGATGCACCTCTGCGTTGGTATTCTCTGCTCATTCCTCGTCTGAAGTCACCCTGGGAAGCCTACTGACCCATGGGTCCTCCAGCTCCAGCCCTCGTTCTGCAGGCCAAATGGCAGCCTGGCTTCCTCCAGCAGTCGAGAGACCTCCACCCTTGGGGGCCTTGTTCAGCAGGATGAAAGCTTGTGTGCAATTCTTGCAAAGGCAGCTCCTTTGAATTGCAGGGGCGGCCTCTAAGCGATCCCTCTGCTCCCCGGCAAGCACACAGCCTGACCACTGATGGCGTCTGCAGAGGAAGCGGTGGAATGTGGAAGTTTACACGACGTCAGTGTGCGCACATCCTCCTGTCTTGAGCCCTGGGAGCCTGGCCAACAGCTGCTGTATGGTGCTCCTCGTCCGCCCATCTCGGCAGCCTTGACTTGCCTTGGAGTCTCCTGCTTTGTGCTTTTTTAAATGGGATGGGCTGCTAAGCAGGGCTTAAGGAACTGATCAGAACAGCAACCACAAGAATCTTTGGTGCTTACAACCTCTACGCAGGCTCTGCATGAGGAATGTCACACTCCAGGCCTCAGACTCTGACCAAAATTCACTGGAAGGGAATTGCTGTGCTCTGAATGGTGGCGCCCCCACCCCCAATTCATGTGTAGAAATTTTAACCCCCAGAGATGGATGGCATTAGGAGGGTGGAGCCCTCATGAATGGGGTTAGTGACAGAAAAGAAGCACCACAGAGCTCGCAAGCCCCTCCACCATGTGGGGACACACGAAAGGTCTGCAACCCCGAAGGGGGCCCTCACTCCACCCCACTCTCAGACTCCCAGCATCTGGAACTGTGAGAAATAAATACCTGTTGTTACAAGGCCCCCAGTCTGTGGTATTTTGTTATAGCAGCCCAAGCGGACAAAGACAGAAATCATCTCAGCCAATCCCCTAATACACAATGTCCTGTCGGTGCACAAACTTACTAGAAACCCCTCAGCTCTGCCTCAAATTTGAGAGAAAAGAGAGCTGACACGTGCCATACTTGAGGCTGTGAGGTAAATGACAAATTTTGGTAGGGAAGAAGGCCAGGGGTTTTGATGTGCGTGTTGCAGACCTTTTTTAGTTTCTCGTTATCTGTGCGGGTGGACGAGAGGTGAGGCGAAGAGGGGGCGGGTGGCTGGAAAAAGGCAGATCTAGTAGACCTTGCCCCTGAGAGAGCTAAAGGTGGGAGCCAACAGGACACTGATGACCTAGGTCAGTCTCTGGGAGCTGCTTTCCAAAGGAGCTGCTTCTTGGTCCAGACGAGGTCCAGCGCTACCCTGTCATCCACCTCACATGTAGCCTCTGGGGCGCTGAGGCAGTGACATCAGACCCCAGATCTTCGCGGGCCCTTCCTTGCACTCACAGGGCCTAGGGTACTAGAAAAGCTCCTGTTTCTTGTGTTCTCCTTCTATGGACAGTGGCACAGGAGGAAGCAGGGCAACTTCAGCCAGTCAGTCCCCCTCTTGATCGTGAAGAGGAAGGGACACTCCAGCTTCCCAGGCTGGAGCAGCCGCTCTGTTAGCCCATAGTCCTGGTGGAAGGAAGAGAACAAGAGGCATCCCCTGGCCAGGAGGAGCTTGGAATTCGAATGCAGCCCTTCTACTCAGCCCGAGCTCTTGCTCCGAGGCCCAGCAAGGTCCTGCAACACCAGCCTCCAAACACCGACCTCAGGTCCCCCTTTTTGCACCTTCAAGCAAATGTTCCCTTTAGAATTATGAAGCCGGCTACTTGCATCCTCAGCTCTGTTTCAGCGCCTAAAGAATCAGTGTGAGGAATCCACACCCTGCAGAACTACAGACTCTCATCAGTGTGAATTAGGTGTTCAACAAGTGTCTCCACGCTTCCACTCTGTAATTACAAAACAAGTAAGCCCCAGGAAATCGAATATTTTATTGCTTTACTTAATGATGTGCCAAATCACCTCCCTCCCACACCCCCCAGTCTTCTGTAGGCAGGTCTCTAAGAGAATGTGCTGGGTCTCACCCCCTCCCTCCAGCAGTCTGGTGGCTGGTGGTGGCTGCAACAGGACCTGAGTAGCAGGACTGAGCCACACTCACCCTCCGGTCGGTACCTTTTGCTCTGTGGGTAATGTGTCATGGCCACACGCAGGGGGGAAATAACCAGAGCGACGAAAACAAAGAGAAGAGGAGAAAAAGTGAGAAAACGAAAGGAGAAAAAGGAAAAACGATGGAAACACGTGCTGGGGAGCCTCAACTCTCACCACGGTGACCATCGATCTCAAATCTCTGAGGAAGCCAGGTGGCTTCAAGAGTTCAAGTAAATGCGTGGAAGCAGTGCGACCTCTGTAAACCCAGCACAGGTAACACCTGCTGGGAAATCGGGCCAGTGGCCTCCAGAGCGGAAGGCACCTTGGAGAACATCTATTTATACGTGTTTAGGGCTCATCCTTATTCAATGTCTGTCCTGTGTGTGTTTTAGGATATATATGATATAGCAATGTAGTAGTACATGTATATAATTTATAAGTAAAGAAATCTATTGGGGGGTGTATTTCTACATCAGTTTTTTCTACTGATGGGGTATATAGTCAAAAGAGCTTGGAGACCACCTGCTGAGGACAATGACAGTCACCATGAAAGAGTCCACTCTCCCACCTAGCAAGGTGTGGGGCCTCACCAGGGCCCTCTGCTAGACTGCCTTAATGTAGGAGGACAAGTCAGCTGTCTGCTGGGAAGGCTCCCCTCCCCCCTGTTCCCTAGTGCTTCTGGTTCCTTTCAGGAGTGAAATCACTTGCATTTTGGTGAAACAGAAAAAAATATTATCGTGACTATTACTATCTAAACCCCTCACCCACCGTCTAAGGAAGTCCCATCATGGTGAGAAGGTCTCTGTCACAGGTCCACCGTATACAACTGTGGCCATGGAAAGGCAGGTAGGGACTGGAACCCAGCGCAGGCCCTGCTCACCATGCCACGTGCCAGGAAAGGGCACTTTTCACTAAGGCTCACCAAGGTGTCTGTAAGGATTACCAACTGCTCTGCCTTTCTTTTTCTTTCTTTCTTTCTTTCTTTCTTTCTTTCTTTCTTTCTTTCTTTCTTTCTCTTTCTTTTCTTTCTTTCTTTCTGCTTTATTTGTATATGCCTTTCTTATCAATTTTGCCTTCATAAATACAAAGTTTGTTGCTTGTTTTGTCTTAGTCTAATAATAATTTTGAGTTTCCAGCCCCTAAAGAGTGTGCATCATGAAGGGGGGTACAGAATGGGGCTCTGGTCAGCAGGTGCAGCCCCCCCAAAACACAGCTCACCACAGATGAGTACAAGAAAGCTAAATATCATTTTCTGCCCCTGTGTCTCAAGGACACCATGAGGCCATCTGACTAGATGAATTGTTCCACAAAGAAAAAAAAAAAAAAAAAGAACTAATGCCTCAGTCCAGCCTTGGTGGGGGCCAGCCCCTGTTGCCAGGGTCCTAGAATGTGGCCTGTTTCATATGTCTCCATTGGACTTAGTCACCCAGCCATGGAAGGTTCCATTTCCCTCGGCCTGAGACCATGGTGGAATAATGCAATCCTTTTGAATACAGCCACAGGGGTCATAAATGTCCCCACATGTCCCTGCTCACCCTCATCTTCCTGCAAATTCCATCCATCTATTTTACTGGGAAACGTGATGTTTCCCCCTAAATGTCTTCTCCCTCCTAGGGAGTAATTTTGCTTCTCAGTCATCAGGTAGCACCGAGAAAGGGAATGTGTTATTGGGCCTCTGTGCGCTGTCTTCATGGTATGCTTGGAACCCTCAAGCATCAGCTTTGGGCTCTTTCATCGATTTGACAAATTCTTTGACTTCTTCTTCCAGGGCCTTGTTCCTCCTCTCAACATCCTCCCGGGAGCGCTCCACATTGCGGAGGCTGATTTCCAAGGCTGCAAATTTCTTCTTCTCCTTCTCCAGTTCTTCATTGAGCCTCACCACCTTGGCCCAGACATCATAATTTTCCTTCTCAAGGCTACAAGGAAGGAAATAACAGAATGAAAGAACAGGGTGTGACCTCTAGACTCTCCCTTCACCCTTGCTCACACACTCTGTCCACTTTCCTTTCTACATCACAAGTCCTATATCCAACTTCCACCCCCCCCACATGCCCCCCACACACAGACTTCCCAGTAAACCTGAAATCCCAGGGCATGTCTGAGCCCCTCTTTTATCATTTAACATGATCTTATAACATCTTTTGTGTTGTTGTTTTTCACGTTGTTCTATATTTTTTATCTTCCATCAGATAAATAAAGTATTTGAAAGAAGGAACCACCTCTAATCTATCTATCTATCTATCTATCATCTATCTATCATCTATCTATCTATATTTTCACCTCCACAGCACCTTGCTCATGTCATGCTCAACAGAAATGTTGATTGACTGCTGAAGCCCCATATCCAGATTCCCAAGACCTTTGCACACATGAGTTCCTGCCCATCCTGCTTCCAGGGAGAGTACCAGTGCCTTCTCTTATTAAGGCCCTCTAGGGGTGGAGATTTGGAGAAGTTTGAACTGCCCTTTGGGAGCAGGGGCCCTGGCAGCCCCACCCTCACTTCCAATCTGCTCCAAGTGAAGAATCTCTTGGGGGGTGCCTGGGTGGCTCAGTTGATTAAGCGTCTCCCTTCAGCTCAGGTCATGATCCCAGGGTCCTGGGATCGAGCCCCGCATCAGGCTCCCTGCTCAGTGGGGAGTCTACTCCTCCCTCTCCCACTCCCCCTGCTTGTGTTCCCTCTCTCACTGTGTCTCTCTCTATCGAATAAATAAATAAAATCTTTAAAAAAAAAATCTGTTGGGTTTCTGAATTCCCAGAAGTTTCCCTGTTACTGGCCCAAATCTTAGTCTAGTCCCAGGTGCTCCCTGTTCTGCCAGGTTGTGCTGAATTAACTCCTAGGAATGAGAGTACAATGCCATTTTTAAGCCTAAAGAGGAAATTTCAGGACTGTGGGGAGATTGTGTGATTGGAAATTTGCTTTAGAATTTCATTCTGTGAGGTGCTGCCTCCCTGCCCGGCACCCCCCTCCCCCAAAATGGCCTTTTTTTTTTTTTTAGAAACTTGAGCTCCCATTTGAGCCCAGCCTGGCTTCTGTCTTCAGGGGCTTTGGACCATTCTCCAGGTATCAGCCCCTCTTTGGAACCTTGCCTCCCCCTTCCTATAGCTAAATTAGTCTCATTCCTTCTGGCCCTGTCATTACAAATCCAGTTCTTCTCCAAGTTTACTCTTGCTTCCATCTTGCTTTAGGAGAAATCCCAACTGAGAGACTACAGCTCAATTCAGACGACTGATTCTGGTGAGAGATAGAATCTGGGTGGGCTCAGGAGTGTGACTGACCCAGGTTCAAATCTCAGCCCTACTGATGTTTGTGTGCCTCCTGAGGAATCTTTTTATACTTCCCGAGCCCCCATTTCTTCTGTAAAATGGGGATATTATCTATGTTACAGCATTGCTGCGGGGGATTACATGAAAAGGTATGTCTGAAACATGAAGCTCAGAGCAGGAGCTATGGACTGTTAATTCTCCTCTCACTGTTGAGGACAGAGGACCCCTTTGATGGGTGAATTCAGAGGACTTGGTTCCATTCAGGAGGAATGGCCCCTCCATGGCAGCTGGATCTTTCTCTACCCTGTCAATGATATTCACATGAGAGTACAGTGGGAAACTTCTCTGGGGCTGCTTCCGTCACAGACAAGATGGCACATGAATGTTGCAGTCCTACAAATGATTGATTTCAGGTTCTTAGACAAAGGATCTACATTTTGCTTTTAGACGGGCAGCCCTCTACATAGGAAACAAAGAACGAGGGCTCACAAAAGTCTTCCTTTCACGTACCTGAGTCTTAATGGACTGAAAAAGTACCCATAATTTGAAAACCCCACTAGTTCACATTTTACGTCATTACTGATGTAGTTCATATGGGCTAAGCTGGATTGAGCTTTACGCTCATGAAAAGTCAGTGGTGTGAAAAAGATTTCAAGAAAATAGTTTACCTACCCAAGAGAGCACATTGTGTCCAAGCACCTTAGGGATGTGCATAAAAATTGTGGCAATAGCCTCCGTATTGGCCTTCCCTTAACCCTCCCCACCCCAACCCAGGGGGCCTGTGCTCAGTAGGAAGCCAGTGATTCAGTGAAGTTTTAGTCAAGTAGATCTGGCTAGAAGCTCTGTCTCACACAGGCTTTAAGGTGGCTGGCACGTCCTCCTGCCCTCGTCTGCCCTCTCTCCTATCAACTATTTCCCGCTGCTCCAGCTCACCACCACTCTTCCTGTGCATGAACATACCAGACCTGCACCTTCGCTTCTCCCTACCTGGCCTGCTCTTCCCCCATAGGTGGGCCTGACTTATTCCCTCTTCTCTTCAGGCCCTTGCTTTAATGCCACCATCTCAGTGAAGCCCTTCTGACCACCCTATTTAACATAGGAACTCCCTTCCTGGACGCCCCCAACCTCCTGCCCTGCTTTATCTTCCCCGTAGCATGCTCCGCCATCTGACATAGCATATATTTTAATTACTTATACATATTGTCTGTCTGTTCCCGATAGAAGGAAAGCTTTATAAGCACAGGGACTTTTGTCTGTTTTGTTCAGTGCTATTCCCCAACAGCTGGGATGGTGTGTGGCACACAGGAAGTGCTCGATAAATATTTTCAGAAGGGATGAATCACATTAATATGAAAAAAAAGTCAAGTTCCTCTTAATTTTTAGAGCCTGTCAATCCTTAAAGAACCACTCTTTGGAAATAGTTGTTTAAACTGCATAAGCTACATACTTCGCTTTCCATGAATTTAACCTAAAACTTAAGAGTTTTCACTAATGTAGTCATCTCATCATTCCCTTTACCCCTTTCTTCAATTAAGCCCAACTGCTATAGATTGCTGTATTCTCTAAACTCAAGGTTTCTAATATCACTTCGTTGGCACAGGAGAACAATCCCTGTTGCTTCTGAAAATGGAAGCCAAGTGACTGCCCGAGGCCCCTCTGCAGGTGACTTACTTTTTAATCTGTTCCTCATACGTTTGCTTCTGTGTCTCTATTTCCTTTCGCAGCTCCTGGACCACCCTCTGCAAGGATTCAAGTTCCTCTTCTCCAGAGTTCTTTTTTCCATGCCTGGTTTCAGAGTTAGGGCTGGCAAGAGTTTCTCTCTTGGAGTCACAGGCGTGGGAAGAGACAGTAGCTGCCTCCTCCCCGGGGGCCCCGGGCGGGGCAGGGACATTATCGTAGGTGGAAGTCCGCTGGGAATCGGGACAGTGGGGCACACCTTGAGACATCGTTCTCCTGTGCCCTTCCTCGGCCTTTACCTCCGAAGAAGGTGACCAGAACTCATTTTTAAAGATCTCCACTTTGCTGCTGTTGGCACCTTGAAACACTGACGTCAAGAAGCATTTCCGATTAGGGAGTGTCTGAGTCCTTTTTCGTGACTGCAGCTTCCAATCACCTAGCTTTTCCCTGGGGGCTTTACTGCTCTCTTCTAAACATCCATCACTCGGCTGTTGTCCAGTGGGGCTGGTTGTGTCTGAGTCGCTGGTCTAGAAAGAAATGGCCATGGATGTCACATGGGTTTTTCCCATGTGTCAGGTCCCCAGGATAAGGATTAGCAACTTGAAAGAAAGTATCTCCTGGCTGCACACCCATGAAACTCTTAATTAGAAGACCTTAATTCATCACATTATTGATTATCTGTGTGGTGTTTTTCCACAAGGCTATTGCACTGAAAAGGAACTAACTCATGCTCTAAAAATTAATTGTGTATTAGTTGTAAGAGAGTCTTAAGCTAGGATTCTTTCATAGCTTTAGGATGAGGAGGCCTTTCTAACTAGAAGTCAAAATCCAAAAGCCATAAAATACAAGTCTGATAAATTCAATCTACATGGGTTTCCATGACCCCCCCAAATTAAAAAGAACAAAAATAAAACAAAGATATCACCATATATAAAATCAAAAAAGAAATGACAAACTAGCAAAAATATTTGCAATACATATCACAGACAACAAGCTACTCATATATAAAGTTCATACAAATTGAGAAGAAAAAGACCAACAAAAATATGGATAAAGGACAGGATCAGACAGTCCACAGAGGAAAAGAAAAATGCAAAAAGCCCTTATGCATAAGAAAAGATGTTTAGCTTCTCTCATTATTAAAGAAACCCAAATCAAAATTAAAATTACTGAAATATCAGGGCACCTGGGTAGCTCAGTCGTTTAAGTGTCTGACTCTTGATTTTGACTCAGGTCATGATCTCAGGGTCGTGAGATCAAGCCCCGCCTTGGGCTCCATGCTCAGCTTAAGATTCTCTCTCCCTCTCCCTCTGTCCCCACACCCCCTCTCACATACACACTCATGTGCTCTCTCTCTCTCTAAAAAAAAAAAAAAAAATTAGTGAAATATCAGTTTTCACCTATCAGATAAGACACTTCCCCAAATTTGAAAACACATTTTGCTAGTGAAACTGTAAGGAAACAGGCTCTTTCGTGCATTGCTGGTGGAAGTACAAAATGGCACAACCTCTATTTGACAATTTTAGTAAAAATTACACACAAATCTACTTACCCTCTGATTCAGTAATCCCAATTCTGGGAATTTATCCCAGAAATACATCTACCCGAGTATAAAATGAAGCACAGTCAAGGTTATTCATTGCAGCCTTGTTTGTTGTACAAAGGAATGAAAATAATTCAGTCATCTGAGGGACCTGTCCACGTATTGACATAAAAAGGTCTCCAGGATATACTCTTAAGCGGAAAAATGAAAGATAAAGAGTAGCATGCGTGTGCATGCTTGTGTGTGTGTATGTGTGTGTGAAGAGAGAGCAAGAGAATATGTTATATTTGCATAAAAAAGAAGTAAATAATTTACATTCATATCTATTTATATTTGCATAAAGGAACAATGGAAGAATAAGTATGAAACTAATAAAGGCGGGGAAGGATGGGGTGAATGGAGATAGCAGAGGGAGCAGGATTTCTCAATGTATATCTTTTTCTCATTTTAATTTTTTTTGAACCGTGTATATATATTTTTAAATTAAATTAAAAAGAAAAAAAGAGAAGAAAAAGAATGAGTCCTAAAATCAGAAAATCAAGGCTCAGGCTCTCCTTCTAATCGCTCTAGCTTATCACTTGCTTCCACAACTCCACTGGAGACAGAAGCACCGGGTCTCAAAGTGAGAACTAGAACTAAATTCCATTCTGTAACATTCTAGTGCTGCCACCTTGGGCCAGCTGGTCAACCTCCCTGAGACTCTGCTCCTGAAAGATAAGATGTGGATGACAAAGTCTGCCCTACATAGTTATGGTGAGGACCCCAGAAGTGACCTACTTAAGTTTCCCAGAATAGTGCCTACCCATAGCTGCCTACACTGTTACAATAAATAACAGAAACCTGTCGAATAAGCCTAACAATGTCTACTCCCAAGGACCACTAATAGGATTTCATTACATGAAGTATGAGCATTTCTAAATATTAATTTAATTTGAGAGTGTTGGCAAAATGCATCATGTACAGACATCACCTAAGAAGAATCATAACCACTACCACTACCTACCTTTTTTTCAATACTTTCTTAATTATCCTCAGGATTAATAGTACTATAGACATCTTACATTACTGGGTCAACCAGAAACTTTAAATTCATCTCTTGGTCACACATAAAGAATCAAGCTGCTACACAAAGTTCATGTTTTTTTTAAAATATTTGTCTCTATAAATATATAAAAATATTTGAGCTTTGTAAATTATTGGCCTCAACTAGTCTACATTTCAGAGGTTGCAGAGTTTTTTGACATTGTGAACGTGAGCCCCAACCCTTCAGTACAAATGAGGAGGGTGACATTGCTGAGACAGCTTATCAGGGAATGAGAAATATTACATGAACACATCACATACTCTGAGAAAGAAATCACGTTTCATGGGTCAGCAGGAAACCAGTTCTCTCTGGACTTTCACCCGGAATTTTCAACAACTCTCGCTAAAACACTTACAATGTGATATATAATTTCCCCTACTGAACTTTCCTGGACTGTGTTTGGCAAGGCTTCCCTTTTAGAGTGGGCTTTAGTGAGGACTCCCACTGCTCAGTCATTAGGAGACTGGCATACGTGTCACTAACCCCACCTCCAGGATGCCAACAGACACTAGATTTAGAAAGAGGCCAGGCTTTCAAGATGCATTCAAATGGGTCGTACCATCTATGCCCACTGTCATGGCATCATCTAAAACTCCTCAAACTGCCACCCTAGACCAGCTTTTACATGGAATGACTTGGACTAAAGGAAGAGTCAGATGGAAGGAAGAAGGTTCTCTGCACCTTACCATGTTACTGAAGCTATCTGTCCTAGAAATTGGAGGGTCTTCAGTGGCATCCCAGCCCACAGAGCTTCGAGCTACTGGAGGTTTCTTAGGGTCATTTTTCTGAGCAGGGGGTGAAAGGGGGGCATCCTTGGACTTGGGGAAGAGAACTTCATGGTCTCTGATCATCATGGTCATCACTCTTTGGATTTGAGGAGTCCCTGAAAGAAGAAAGAGATCTGTAAAGCTGGACCATGGCAGGAGGCAGGCAGTCCTCAGGGTCTCCACCCGTGGGATGTCTCTAAACTTGGCTCTAAAACCACAGGGCCCAAAAGACCTCATTTTGCTCCTCATGGGACCCTTCTAAGGGTAGGAGATTGTGGTGAAAGAGAAGGGATAGGAGAAGGATATGGGAGTGGGGTGAAAGAGGGTTATTTTCAGCCTATATGGTCCTGTGGGTCAGTCTTTGATCAGAAAATGAGCAATATAATAGTAGAGAAAATGAAGACATCTTTCCCCCCTGATGTGGTCCTCGATATGTCATCTGATCTCTTATTGCACACACAGTAAATACATGACAGCCATACTACCTTCCCAAATCCACGGCAGACATCAGTACTCTATGCCAGGACTTTTGCTCACTGAACCAAAACACAGCCACAGAAGCCTTTTCGACACAACTTTACCAGTAGCCTTTTTTTGTGAGTTGTCTTATAAAATCAAACTTGCTTTCTCTATTTTCTTGCAAACTTGCTTTCTCTGGCTAAGGGTATTTAAAAGTCATAAAAGACAAAGAAATACTGTTTTTGTGCTAGCCTATTGTACTGTGTGACCACTGGGTCAATTTTTAACCTCTCTGCTCTGCTGTGATCTGGAAAATGGACATAATTTCTGCCCTGCTCCTTTCACAGGGCTATTTCACAGTTGGGGCAAGGTAATCAACTGAAAATGCTTGGCAAATTGCAGCGCATTTTGGTAGCTAGGTAACTGTTGTCACTTCTTCTGCACGTGCCTTCCCCACAGGATCAGCTGTACCTCTCATGATCACAGCAGGGTCTTCGACCTTCGACCTGATGAGATTCACACCAATCACGGTAGCCAGGTTATCCACGCTCATCTTGTTAACACCACAGTTGAGCTGGATTTCATGTAGGAACCTGTGGGCAACCAGGAAATCCCATAGTAGGAAATAGGAAGTTGCCAGAAGGAAGCACTTCCAGGTACCACTGAGATCTCAGAGATGGATCCCATCTCCATCTTTCTAGTCTCAGAAATGGAACCAGTCTGCTCAGCCCACATGAGTTTAACTTCACCCTGAGAGATTCAAGATCAAGGAGGAAGAGAAACCAGAAGGGATCTGCCCAGCTGCTAGGGGTGGCGTGGGGGCTCGGGGTGGGGCGCCCCAACAGCAGGAGGTAGGATCTGGTTCAGGGAGCTAAGAGGACACTAGAAGGACTCAAATGGGTATGTGACTACCCCTCATTCTGACTTTATAGGCTTATCTCTCAGGCACTCGGCACTCATCCCACCCAAGTTTCCAGAGATGGAAACTTTATCTTGAGGAGATGTCACAGAGGGGAATCCACAATGCCTCTTTGCTCTCAACCTCCGATTACAGCACCAAGCATCTCAAATTCTCAGTGGGTGCTCAACAACTAGCAATGAATTTTTACTATAATTACACACATTGGAGGCATGAAGCTCTCAGCTTCCTTATTAAAAAAAAAAAAATCGGCAAAGGAATTTCTAAATACCTTCTCCAAAAACCATTTTTAAATGGATAGGTTGAAGCAACTTAAAATTCCAAATACATAGAAATTATCAAATAAATGGTGGTGTTTTCAAATGAGGAAACATTATGGAATATTACAGAGTCATCTATAATCCTATTTTATGACATAGGGAAATGCTCACAATATCATATTAAGCCAAAACCAGGATACAAATATATACAAAAAATTGTTCCCCAATATTTATATTGATGTATGTAAAGATCTTTCATAGAAAGAAAAACATCCCAAAGGAAACATCCCCAAGCAGTAATAGTGATTTTTGCTGAGTGAGGACATTGTATATTATTTTTATTTCTTATTTATAGTATGTTATATTTTCCTGGTTTCCAAATCAAGCATGTATCACTTTTATAACCTGGATACTACCACAATTTATTTTTTAAAAAGAAGATAAATTTCAGCTCTGTCTGGCATGGAGATCCAGGCTCCCAGCTCAGACAGACCTGGGTCAATCTACATGCTATGTGTTGCCATGAATGTCTCCAGGGCACAAAGTTATGGCCCCAGAGTCAGGAAGATGGGAGATAATTCTAGAAACATTATAAGGATTCTGGGTGCTACTGCATGTCCCAGGACTCCGGGCAGCACAGGGGCAGGCCTGAAGGAGGAAGCATGTTCACTTTGCATGCCAATCAGACTCTGAGTGGATCCTTTAAATCATCTTGTGGATAAAGGGAACCTCTTCAGTGCTGCGTGAATACAGCTGACCTTCCCAAGGTCTGGACCAGAAGCTCTGAGTTCACAGAGACACTCTTTTCTACTCTAATTGGGGGCTTCTTTCTGATACGGCTGGGAACTGATGCTGGGGGACTCTTACCTGCATATGTAGCTCAGGAGGTTATAGTTGTCTCGAGGAAGGATGGACAGCTGCTTCACCAACTCCTGCTGAGCCTGGGAAGAGATTTTAACACCGTAAACATCCCTCACTGGCAATGAGACTCTGGAACAGGAGGAACATAATTGGTGGATCTGTGCAGAAGCAGCACGGGCAGTCACTCCTGTTCCCACGGTTTTTGTGATTTTTTAAAAAGCTTTTTACTTTGCAATATTTATAAATTCACAGGAAGCTGCAAAAAAATAGCATGGAGAGGCTCACGTGTTTTTTTTACAGGACATTTTTTTGTCTCTAATCGTACCCTCTTCCCCAAATCTGAGCTACTCTAAGGCAAGGATGATTTGACAATTCATACAATCATTGTTTGCTTAGTGAATGCTTGAGATGTAACACTCCAGTAAAGAACTGGATCATAACCAAATACCCCAAGCCATTTGGTTTTTAAAACCAAATACCCCAAGGGGTGCCTGGGTGGCTCAGTCGTTAAGCGTCTGCCTTTGGCTCAGGTCATGATCCCGGGGTCCTGGGTTCGAGCCCCACATCGGGCTCCCTGCTCAGTGGGAAGCCTACTTCTCCCTCTCCCACTCCCCCTGCTTGTGTTCCCTCTCTTGCTGTGTCTCTGTCAAATAAGTGAATAAAATCTTTAAAAATAAATAAATAAATAAATGAAACCGAATACCCCAAAAGAAGAAAAATATCAGTATTGAGAGAAGAAGGAAGCTTCTAAGAAGGGTTTTAAGCAATAAGGCCTTGCTGAGACCTGCTGAGACACAGGACAGGCTGACTAATCCAGGGGGTGGGGGGCAGGTAAAGGTCAGAATGTTCTAGCTCCATGAGACCATCATACAAGGAATGCATGTGCCAGGGAGGGGAAGGACAGAGAGTTTTTCTCAGGTCCTTTCACCTGCAGCTGCCTGTAGGGTCTGTGGTGATTGCTGGTAACATCATGATTGTAAAAGCGCATCAGTTTACATGACGCGCACAGGCTCCCTCAACCCTGAGCAGGTCCTCCTATGCACCCCATGGCCTGTCAGCCTGCATGCAGTGACTTGGTGCAGACCCTCTGTATCCAGAATGCCCGCTTCATACCGGGATTCCCTCCTCTTCATTTTAACTAGTCAATTCTTCGCAAAGGCTGCTGTAGACTCATGGCTCCCAGCTACTACCCCTGCCACATTTTCACCCACATCTGCCTTGCCCAGATGTGCATTACCATAGGTTAGAAACTCAGATATGTTGAGATGGAGGCAAGTTGGGAGAAACAGGTCCAAAGTGGGGAAGTTCAGGGGTGGGAGTCTTATTGTCAGATCTGCATCCGTGTACCTCCTTTGCTTTCCCTGGTGCTGGGGGCTGAGAGGTTGCCTGAAACACTGTCTTTTTAGATAACTTTTAAACCTCATTCCATAAAGTGTTATTACGTTCACAAAGGTGAGCTGATATGCCTATATTAATTAAGACTTGTTGGGACGCCTGGGTGGCTCAGTTGGTTAAGCGACTGCCTTCGGCTCAGGTCATGATCCTGGAGTCCTGGGATCGAGTCCCGCATCGGGCTCCCTG